CTTAATAGACATCTAATTGGCTCTCATGTTATGCATGTTAAGGTGCACGTGCGCCAATTTTTCGCGTTCACATAATAATTAATAGCCACTCCAATCGATGTTTATTTGTATTAAAACGCATGCGCACCAATTTTAAATGTTTAATTCTAAATATTTAAATTTAAAATCTCTTTTTTGTATGTTCAAAAACGGCTAGTATTGTTAATGTTTTAAATTTAAATGTATGGTTCGAATTCTTTATTCGAATTTAATTTTACCTGAAGACGACGTGCTTATTTACGTCGAAAGCGCTCGTAAATTAAAAATAATTTCAAGTATATTTAACGCCTCATAGACTGACGTTCTTAGAAGTTTTGATTGACATAAGTTGGCGTGACATCCAACCCGTGAACTCAATACACCTAACAAGTTGTGTTTATTATTTAATGTTTAACTGATGAAGACCATTAAAGACAGCCAAAATTTTTTTACAGTATTAAATTAACTTGCTGGAGTGTTTGGAAAGATGAACATAAGTTTGTTAAAAGCACTAACAATAATAATAAAAAATTGTTAAAGTGAGTTGAAGTGAATCACTCAGTGAGTTTTCCTTCCTTTTATCAATTATTTGGCATGAGGATCAAGCTGTATTAGGTCATGAATATATTTTTCATTCTGTCTAATTTTTATTTTATTACAATGTTACTTATTGTTGTTGTTGTTTTGTTTTTTATTACTTTTTCTGATATAATTAATTAAAAAAAAATAAAGTTATGATGACATTTAAAAAGCTATAATAATAGATATCTGAACTTTTCACCAGTTAGCCAATTTATGTATAACATTACTGAGATTCACTGTATTTCAAGTATATACTGTATGTAAATCAAAATCTTTGCAAGAAGTTTTTCATGAAAACAATGCTTCTCCCATACACTGTATAATAAACTAGCTTACCCGTCGCGCATTGCTGCGATCTCAGAAGAAAGGAAATTCAAGCAAACTCATTATGATAAAATTCAATTTACATTTTATCATTTTTATTGAAACTTATTATTGTTCATTTTCATCGGGAAAACATTTCAAAGTGTTATTTCAATTCTATTTATTTATTGGAGTGCTTGTGGATACACAATATTTTTTGTTTTTCTGTCTGGTGCATACACGAATAAATCAGAAGGTTTTCTGAGGCGTGAGTTGGCCACATACAGTTGTCCATGCGAGAAGCACGGATTCTCCAAATTTAGCCCACACAGTTGCAGCGATTGTCAGAAGTGCGATATTCCCCATTTATATATATATTTTTTAATCCTTTATACTTTTCCACATCAATGTTA